GCCTCTCTCTAACCGAAAACAATGCATTGTGCGTACCGCACATCTAGCTCCGCAGTTTTTGCGTGGTTGGTCCGGTCGTTCAGCTTGCTCGACGTGAGTAATAAGCTTTGCTTTGATGGCTCTATGTTTTATCGATCCACTTCAAGCAACGAACACCCCCCCCCCCTCCACCGTTCGATCCATTTTGGGTCTCACGCCGGAGAGTTTTGGGGTGTCTTAGCTCTAAGTCCTCCACCGCCCAACGGGGGACTTCAGTATTTCTTTTTAATGCCGTACCAATAGGCATTAACCTTGGGTAAGCTTGTGCTTACTTTGGACTGCACCCTCCTCATCCTCTGGGGGAGGTAGAGAGGGGGGGGGGCGCATGGCCTCTATTTTTCAGGGGGGTCTCGGGTACTGGTTGGGGGTCGGTTCTATGTGTACTGCATCCTCGAATTGTCCCCTCACTATAGCTACTGTGGATTTTCAGTATACAGCTATCCTTATTCAACGCGTCTATGTGTCCGGCAATCTCCAACACAAATCAACCTGTGAGCTTTCCGTATGCAGCTTTCCTGTCTGGGGGGATGATAATTAATGGCACCCCCGCAAAGGAGTGGTTTTTCTGCTGGTGCTCCTAACATTTCAAGTCGAAAAAGTGGTAGGCATGCAAGGCCTGCTATAATTTCGTCTTCTATAGTGCCCTACATAGCGGCATGGCATGTCCAACGGCGGTGATTGTTCACCTGCTAAGGTGCATGCTACATACTTGAGGCAAGATTGGAATCAATTTACATGATAAGTGGGCTACCTTCTCCAAAGTAAAAACACATTCTAGTGCGTCTCCTGGTACCCTTCACGACAACCGAGTCGTCCGAGGCGTATTGGATACGTACACACGTACGCGCAATGCTAAAGCACACGTACTTTGCAGAAGTTTGACGCGTGAGTTATGTATCATATCACTTCAATAACAACAACGACGACGACAGCAACAACGACAACAAAACAAACAATCCACCTGAAGGCACTTCTTCTGGAAGTTGGCGTCCGCGCTGCGGTTGACCATGGAAGCCACGCTCGAAGCAACAAGCGGGATCAAGTCCTGCCAGAAAACGAAGCAAATAATTGGAAAACAGACATAATGGGGGGGCGGGGTACTGAAGGCCGTGCATGCCGTAATCGTTAGACCATTGACCTCGCATTCCTAGAAAGCCGGGACGGAGCACCTCGGGTTTTCACCGGAACCAGCGGGGGCGAGGTGTCGTGTCGTGAGTAAGTACGCCCCGTCATCTTACGCACTACAGTAAATATTTATTGGTTCGTGCTGAACGAGGAAAACTTGAGAGTGCTGTACCTTAGAAGTTTCGCGACTAAACGCTAGTGGAAGTATGACTTGATGTTACACATCAACATTTTCCCATACGACAGAAACGTCGCGGAGAAAACTATAAGCGCACTGCAGTTTGACTGAATGGAACTCCTCCGTCTAGCTCGTGTACGCTGTTCCAAAAAGTCTTGTACATCCTTCATGCGCACCGTGAATTCTCGTATCGCATTCAACCTCTTCATCCTCTCCCGGGTCGACATTATTCATACATTGGCATCTTGGACGTTCCGTCATCGATCAACTCATGATCCCCGCACTCCCGTTTAATCTCTCAACCCTTTGCATTTGTCCCGTACCGCCTCCCCTCACACCTGACCCCTTGTTGTACGAAAAATCACGTGTTTCCGCTGTCCCCGACCATATTCCTTCGGCTGATAGTCCAAACATTTCCGGAATAGATAGGACGAAAACACACAAACCCACTGTAGGACTGACGTCTCTTGATGGGTCGGCTGGTCAGCGCGGTCAACGCAAACTCTAAAGGGAAACAAGAACACATATTTTCCCCCCGCTCACGCCCCTGTCTCATCTCATCCTCATCATGTGCATACCTCTTGCATCATATCCTTCGCCGCCTCCGCTGCCGAGCGGAACCCGCCCGACTCGCGGTTGCTGAGGGATAGCAGCCCCTGACGCACCGCGCTTTCCGCAGCTGACACGTAGCCCTGGCATTATTGACAGCAATCGTGGTGTCCAAGCAAGGTGAAGTAAAACCATGGTACCTGAGGCCGGTCTCCCAGTCTCAAACGATTGCGAAAGACTACCATCCTGTTTCTACAGTAGAACAAACAGTCGTGTACGTTCAACACCGACGAGCGCAAAGCCGCACTTTTGGGCGGAGTAGCTTTCGAAGGACGTTACTCAGGCTCCAGGTGGTTGCGCCCAAAGGTATCGAAGCGGAATGTCAACAACACAACAACACCACAACACCACCACCAACAACAAGGAGAGAGATATCCACCTCTTTGTGTGCGATGGCATCCTTTCTAAGGCTGGTGTAGGGCACCGTCTGCGAGTTGGCCGTGATTGCGACGTGGACTGCCTTGATGTCGGCAAGGGCTGACCAATCCGCGCCACCGTTCACCTAAGGGTGGGGGATAGTATGGCACATCGAAGGACATTCAAGACGGCAACATGGGTGTGGCCCTTGAACGTGTGCATAAGTTGGTTTGGACAATAAACCTACTGACTTGGCTGTGCGTATCAACTCGATGGATGTAGGGCTTCAGAGATTATGAGGCAGCTAGACGCCAACTTGATTCATGTGTCCCTTGTCCCTTACCCCTCTCTCCCTGCGTCCCTCCTGTGCAAGGACAATATGGGCAACAGCGCAAAATCAGAAAGCACTACAGTCGTGCCGCCAGACCACATTTCATCATCGAGCACTATCGATGATCACGGTATCCTCACCTTGTGTTTGATCTTTCCATCCACCCTCATAACGTTGCTGATTTGACTACGCTGGTGGTACCTTGAGGGGCGTCGGAGCCTCGGACAAGATGAATTGCACCCTTCCCTCCCTCCTTCGCACGCGCGCCGATGAAATCTTGAGCCCTAGGTTCCTCCAGCTGCCTTTTGAGGCCACCCCCGCCACGAGGGCGCAAGCCGCGGACGTGTTCGTGTCCAGCATGGGAACGCCGTTCGCGAAGCGGTGCACGAAGAGGGGCACCGCTGTTTCGCCCCTATCGGCCTAGCGTTTATTTATTTATTTTGCACAAGAGCGCGATCGGGGAAAGGGGGAAGGGGTATCTTGGGTTGATTTCTCGCCCTTATTCGTTTGGCCACTGAGCTCACCTCTCTTTCATGAGCTTCTTACTTAGCCTGCACTGATCAGGCAGGAGATGCTACACGACGCGGGATCCGGGACGGAGCGCATGAGAGGAGCTCAGGAACGGTCAGTGCTTACACGCACGACCACCACTTGAGTCACTGGTCTACAACAGAGGGGGCACGTACCTGCTGTGTGAAGGTGCCCTGGTCCCTCGTGGGCGGCGCTCGCTCCACTGCTACGGCTGCCATCACCCAAGTGCTGCTGTGCTTGCCCTATATCGACGCGAAAGTATCACGATAAGTGGAGTCTGGTGAGAGAAAAAATCATTCCTCGATATTTAGGGGGGGGGGGGGGAGTACTAATGTAAGCGCATGTAGTAGTCGTTAGACCGTAGACGCCACATCCCTACAATGCCGAGACGATGCGACATAACAGGTTTCCGTCTGCCCAGGCCACGTTTGACAAGGATGATGTACTATATATTATACAATATAACAGAAGCTGTTCATCATCCTTGCGTTTGCTGTGCAAATACAGCTAACGGGGGGGGTTCTCGAATAAAGGGTTTTGCACCCTTTCAGAGACGTGGGTCGGTACACAGAACCTGCGATGGACGCAAGGTGAGCACATCACGACCAAAACACAAGAAAGCGAGAAAGTTTGAAACTGGTGACAAGCATAGTCACCCCATACCTCTCCGAGCCCTTCAACACAGAACAAATGGGTAACAACCACGCAAACAAACACGTGGTGCGCCATGCAACAACAATATTAGTGCAAAAACGTCCGACAGAGAGAAACGCGTTGAGAAACGAAGTCACCCCGTAGCTCTCCAAGTCCCTCAAGACCAAACAAACAGGCAACCCCACCCACGTCAAAAAAATGGTGAAATAAACGCTGTCACATCGTACCTGACACTCGAAAACAGCCACATCTTCAGCAGCGAAGTCCAGGTGACCCGGAAATGATTTTGCAAATGACGATGATGACGATGCTCCTTCGCTACTAGAGTCAGCTTCCTCCAGTCTCTGAATCCCCCGGCTAGCGCTGCCAATGCTGCTGCCCTCCCGCTGCCCTCCAACGCAGCCCTGAGACTGCCGGTGCTGATGGAGGTGTTGTTGGGCCTGAGGCTGATCTGTGCCACGGTCTGGTGTGTCGTTCGAGTGTGATGAGCCTTCGGTCTGGCCACCAAGGCTTGCCGTTGTTGCTGACCGTGGTGGTGGTGTCTGGATTGTACCGATGGGTGCTTTGTTGGCTTGGGCCATAGCCGAGAGACCCTAGGTGAATCGATCAACAACGAACGCCGAACAGGAAAGGTTACAGACTGATGACGGTGCAAGAAGCAAAGAGGGACCACAGTGTGCGTGTGCGCGTCTCTGTATGATGTAGGTGGCTTTTTCTGTGACTTGCAAAGGCGCAAGTTTGTGATAGTCGCCCGCAAGACATTGTCCTTGCTGACCAAACGGTCGGGCGAAGATTCTTGTCCTACCCCCTGTTTCCCGGCACACAAGCACCGGCATAACCGCAGCCCATGTCATGTCCGACGAATGAGCCATGCGAACAACTTCTATTGAACACAAGCGACCGCGTACCCATCACATTTAAATTCATGGCACTGTTTGAAGCCTTTACTTGAAGAATTGGTCTTTGTTTCTTGTCGTGGTCACGTGAGCCAATGCTCACAGTCCAATGAATGACCTGTAATCTTGCCTCTCTTAGTGAAGAGGTACTAAGCTCGGGTCAACTGTCACACAAGGCGACATCCCCTGCGTTTCTGATCGGGCCTTCGAATCTCTGCCATCAGCCACTGTTAGGCGGGACGAGCATCGCTCCTCACGCCCACTACAACAAAACTCGAAACCACACTCTGAAGCCATTGCAATAATACCCTCTCTGGCACCATGAAGCCTTTCATAAGCAGACGCAGAGGGTATTGTGTACTACAGTTAGGGTCACAACTGCCGTGAGTAGCATGCAACACAGGCCAAGAAAAAGAGCCCTGCATTTTATTGTAGATACACCTTTGCGAAAGCCCGCACGAGATCTTGGTTGTCGAGCAGCAGGTGGGGCGAGGCGTCCCTCCCTCCACGAGGCACGCAGACGCTCATGTTGTCCAGGCAACCCTGAGAAAGTACAAGAGCGGCACACGACTCCATGCCGTGTGTGCTCGGTGGAAGAGATGCCAATACATTCGCACAAGTGGCTCCCGCATGAAAGCAAAAGGGGGCATGGAGGCGGTTGGGAAAAATTGTACATGGCATCGAGAATTCGGGTGTAGTATTGTTATCACTTACTGAAGAACTATTGGACCTCGTATTCACAAAGGAGGAGTGTTACTCTTGCCGCCCACCTAAGGAAACACGGGTAAGTTTTCCTTGCCACTTCCCCGAGGAAATCCAGAGCAAAATGCATGGTTCGACATCAACTTGCAAGGATGAGTACTACTACCTTGGCGTACTGGCCTAACAAAGACCGAATGAAACTTGTCCGTGTGTGGAGGTCAGGATATGGAGATTATGACCCTCAACGGCTGCGAGGAGTTGATGGATCTTTAGGAGAATGGGAAATGGGTCCACGAAGGCTCGCCCACTCTCCGCACTACCCTAGCTTGACTGAGTTCGCTCGGTCACGCTTGGCATTCGTCGCCACATTGCACCAAAGGAAATAGCCAACCTCCGGTGGCAGGACATAGCCACCATAACCCCGGACTCTCCGCTCACCCAGAGTAGAGGGCATCCACCCGTGTACGCAAAAATAACAACAAACGCGACACGGATAAACTCACGGAAATGGAAACAGGTACTTGCTTCTAACAGCAACAACCACGATGACGACGACGAGAAGTGTCATCCTATCCCTCTACCCCGCTACCCCCCTACCTCACACGCGAAGGACACCCCTGCGGGACGGTCCGGCAAGAGATGCATGCGCGCGAAGAAGGCCTTTAGCCTGGGTGCTGCAAAGTTCAAGGCTTCTTCATCCCCAGGCACCAGTAACCGCATGTCCGTGCCGCATCTGAAAAACAGTAGCGGCTTATGACTTTCTACATATCTTGTTCTGCGTCGTTAAGGGCCTTTAGCTCGCTGTTTTGGCGTTTGTTCTTGGGGACGAACCCTGCTTCCGTCCTAAAGGGGATTGTTGGTGTACTGAACTTTGGGCTTAGCGTGGTTGGTTGCATCGTTCCCTCTCCTCCCCTCCTCAATCCAGCATCTGCACCAGACGATGTCTTTACCCCATGCAGAAGTTGATTGATGTCAACATCTCACGAACAAACCGACTCCGAGCGTGAACGGTGCCAGCTAAGCAATTCAGAAACAACAAAGCTGGGAGGCAAAGAGTAGCTAGAAACGCGTTTGCGTCAGACAACTTGAGGCTGGAGAGGGTTCACAAAGAGCTACACAAGCCCCCATCTGAATATTTCAGCAAACCTGGTGGTTTAGTCCTCTTGTACGTCGTTTTGGCTTGGGCTCATTGCCCCACACGTGCGTTGTTACACGAAACGAGAAGTATCAAACTCTGACAGCCAACACCTTACCTCACGAACCATTGCCAACTCACCCCTGTGCCCATGAGTCAGGTTTCAAGCCACTCGTGCGATACACCGTGCGAGGCATGCCCGTCTCAAGGTCGATATCGCATTTCGTGAAAGACCACTGCGTGGAATCCATCGTCGCCGTCGTTGCCTGCTTTAGGAGTTGAGGTTATTGATATTGGTGTTGGTGTTCTGCTTGTGGTTGTGGATGCTGTCGCCATCGTCACCTTCGTCGTCATTGTTGTTCCGAATGTCGCCGATGGTGTCTTCGTCGCTGTCGTGTTGGCGAGGTTGTCGTTCTCGTTCCATTGTTGTCGTGTTGCCGACGTTGTTGTCGTGTTGTTTCTTGGGGGCAGTCAGTAGACAAACGTTTTGGAATGTTGGTGCGTGTCCTACTCCTGGCTCTCTCTGTTGCGATGAGAGCTTTCTCCCTCATGCAGAGCTAGCCATGAGAGCCCGACCACTAGACTAACCTTCAGGAAGCCACCGAAATGCTTCTGTGAGTAGAGGAGAGACAGCGTCAAGCCCAGACCGTACTTGCCGGCGTTCTTCCCAGTCGCACCGCTCGACGACACATCTTTATTCCGTCGAAACCGGCGACAGGAAGAATCCGAGGAGAAACATGGACGCCAGGGTTAACAAGAATCCACGGGCAAGCAAAACCTCGACAAACGAGGGTGGGTAAACAAAAACGCGCACATAGTAACGGTTGATAACGCCTTTCCGAAAGAGTCACAAACACGCCTCTTCTTGGAACTTCAAAAAAGTGCACATACATCCGGTGTATCATGTATTCGTAGGTCTAACCGGGTACCATATTGTGTTTGCCTGCATTTTTCACGTGCGAGGCGAATCTTGTGTTGTCGGATGCAAATGTTCTCTTGTTTAGGGTCGGAACGGAACGGGTACCACTACCGAAAAATACCAGTCCAAATCAACAAAAGGCCTTACTACGTGTTTCTATGACCCTCCGCTCATGGCTACCGCAGGCTCGTTGGTTTCGGAGAGACACCTGGCACACGAAAAAGGTCGACTTGTTGGCCGTACCGGTCGTGCGCACGATCCTCGAACCAGCCCATTCACGGCTCTCTGCCTCCGCTCTACCCACGACGAGATACAAACCTGGAGCGACCGGCGGCGTGTGGCCGGACTTGGTGGAAGAGAAGAGCCCAACGGCCTTGGTAACGTCCGTCAACCCGGCGCCGTTGTCCGCAACCTGAAGTTCCAGAGGTTCTGTGGTACCGTAAAACAAACACCGGAATACCGGGAGGGGTCACGACGGCAAGCCGGAAGTAGGACGATAAAACTCGAGCATTTTTGTCGCAATAAATATATTGTCGTCGTGGTCACCCGCAACGTATTGTTCTAGAGATCCTGTGTCTTTGGAGTATGTGCAAGTAAAGGGGTATGAAGAACTCATTTGGCGTTAGAGAAGCAACAGTCTACGGCATATACTGTTTACACGGCGGCGTATTAGCATTCTGTGTTCCGACAGAACATCAATCACATTCTATCGAGCAAGCCGAAGTCAAATATTCATCACGCCATACCCAAAATGCTTCTTTCGGTCAAGCATGCCATACCATCAATACCCCCATAAAGCGTATCCGAACGCCGCCAGCGGTTTCACACAGACCTTGTCGTTCTGCCGGTGCTCGGCGTCGTCACACGGCGGCATCACCCATTGCAACGGAACGTCAGCCAAATCGACGCTCACTCGCTGTCCGCAGACCAATTCCCACGCGAAAAAAGAAAACGCGAATAAATCCACCACCTTCATCCAGGTCGAGGTCCTCCACTACCCCCTCGGCGACGGTTGCCCCTGCCGCTGACCTGCGGAGCACAACCCGCACCGTCGGGGCGTCTTGTTCTGAGGCCCGGCATCGGCAAGAGTCTATCGCGTTGTCGACCAGTTCTTTGACCGTTTGCTTGATGATTGGTTGGGCCGCGACAGCGGTGTTGCAGGGGAGGCCGGAGAGCGAACATAAGAACGGAACTGGTGAAACGGAATGTGGAAGAACGACGGAAAAGTCATTGAGTTGCACTAAGAAAAGTGGTCCAATGTATTCGCGAGAGTGAGGTAGGAGGAGAGCGAAAATGGATCGATCAAAACCGCTTGTTCTAATGTGCCATCTGCACGATTCAGTGTTGTTGCTCCCAAGTTGAAGAGTCACGGTCGCAAGATGCCGCGAAAAGGAAAAAGAGCCTGGAGTCAGGTCCTGCACCAGCAAGAAGGCAAGTCTGCGACGTTGTCGGTTACTCCGCGTAGGGTGCCCTTGTGACCATCGCACGACAAGGTAAACATCAAAGCCGAAAAAACGCACTACATGAATCGGCAGCCAAGAGGAAGAACAGCATAGGAAGGGTGGTAAAAAGTTGGGGTGGGAGGGAGGTTATTCGCTCGCCTGTTCACTTTCCCAAGTCGATTGTGATGTTTCAGGAGGAGTCTTCCAACTGTTGGTTGTTCGTTCAGGACAACCTCGCACCGCTCACTGACAAGGACAAAAAGGAATCCCTTGCTTTCATTTGACATGTGGGCGGCACGTGAACGTCGTATCACTTGCCAGTGTACCAGCTGGCATGTCTGGAGACCAACAACGCTCCATACACTGCAATCATGCATGTTTGTGGGGGGGGAGTGCAATTGAAGTCAGGCTGCTGTAGTACTTACTTGTAATTCAAAGCGCTTTCACCACCACTAAAGCGGGCACCTGAACTAGTCAATGCATAAATATCTCCATTACAAAATCATTTTTGCGGTCCATCTGTGCCAGCCAATGTTACCCGCACTACAGTATATCGGGCACCCGCAAATTCAACCTGCACTAAAGCGGCCCCCTGCAGAGTGACCTCAGATACTGCGGTAAAAGTTGTTGCAGCATACACTGCTTTTGTCTGGTGTGGCCATGAAGGTCCACATTGAGCGAACACCGTCAACGTCGCCAACAGCAGTGTCACACCCATTCTTGTTATTGTGACGTTGAAAGCGATCGACAGAGCAACGCGCTGTCGCTGCAAGCCATTCTTTGTGTGCTGAGAGTGAAACGCACCGTTCGTTACACGCACGACAGACAGTCCGACCAAGAAACCGGTTTCATTCTCTTCCCAAACGTGAGGACCAAACAACAGCAGTGTTTTGCGTCTTAGATTGGTGGCTATGTTGCCGAAAGCCCATGTTCAATGATTCACGATCTCATGCCGAGGCCAACACGGTAGCAGCGTATGTTGTAGAGGTTCTCGGGAAGGGCTCGAAATCGATTGCTCTGAGAGAGTTGACTGGCAAGTCCACACATTTCACACCACCATACTACGCTCCCCAACACTACTGGTGTTAGAGTGCTCTTCGGCATCAGGGCTCACACGCGCTCACACGTGTATGTGTCGGTTGACCGGGAGCGGGAAACGGAACAGAGACAGAGATCGAGACAGAGGGGTCACCGTGCCCAGCTGATGAGACATGACGGCAGCACCTTCTCGGCACCGAAACAGGAAGATATTTTATCTTGTTTGTGCAGGACGACAGCAGTAGAATAGTAGTATCTCTCAAATCACTCCTTGATTGTATTACAGGCACATACAGCAGTATGCGTACCACGAGTGCCTCGCCACTTGACCCAAAACCGGACAGCTCGAAATTTTGTCTAAAGTGATGCACCACGCTGCTGTTGCCTGTTGCTGATGACGACGACAATGATGATAGTTTGATGTCGTTGCTGCCGGTGAGGCTAGATGAGCGCTGCATTGCTGTGCTGGTAGCTGGTACTGCGGATGAGAAACCCAAAATTGAAATTCTACTCGTATCGAGGGGGGGGTACACAGACAAGATTTGCCTTTACGCACACACCCACTCCGTCTGACTTCCAGGGGATTGTTGGACGTGAGAGAGACAGTAGTAGGAGCAGTGGGAGGTGGACCTTGTGCGTGATGCAGCACGAGAAGTAGATAAGACTGCAGCAACGTAAATCCGAACAGAATTTCGGTGTGAGGCAGTGGGATGTGTGCTGTGAAGAGAATATCGTGAGGAGCAGTTTCGGGCCTCCTCGTGTATGCAGCAGAAATGTTCTCTAAACGCCATCTTGTACGTGCTCGACCCCGTTACGTTTTCGTTTGCACTTCTTGTGTTGGTGAAGTGAAATGCCAGCTGCATATGAGGTTCCCTTGCACGTCTCAAAACCAATACGCTATGCGTGCGTGCCTCTGAGATACTTCGGGGTCGCTGGACGAGTCTGGGCGAATTTCCTCTCTCCCGCGCGTGCTGCGTCAACGCTTCACTTTTCACTCGCAACCGTCCGTTCGTTTGCCCCCCAATGGCATAAGCGTGTGGTGGCGCTGACAAAAGGGTGCAATGACAATGATGTGTTCCCTGTGCAAGTGGTTGTCGTGACCTTTGCACGTGATAACCTTGGCAGACAACATGAATATGCCGAAAGGGTAAGAACAAATCTTTCTGCCGCAGCGTTGGAAATTAAAGGGGGAGTGTATGTCTCAGATAGAGTGACTATCGCAGATGGATTTCAACCTGGTCATTTTCACGTGGACAGAATTTATCTCGTTGGTATTGCATATTTCGGAAATCGAGATCCGATCTTGACCTTCCGCTGGCGCTCATATTGCGGCCAGGTTTCAACGAAAAGTGAATCACCACGCGCATGAGAACCCGTTTCGAAAACGAATGAAGTGTCTCAACCACACTCGCACACGGCCACGCTCAACAAAAAACAAGCAGTCTGAACCAAACCGATCCTATCGTCGCTCGCCATCTTCGCCATCCGCCCACTCATCAAACTCTTCCTCCTCCGCACTACTCCAATACCCCCCAGGGTCCCTCATACTATCCCGCCACCCTCCCTCGAACCCCTCCATATCAACAACATCGCCCTCGCTTGTACTACCAAGCCCGGACTCTCGCGTTCCCCCCCCCCTACCACCACCACCGCCCTCGTCTTCCATCGCCTGCCTCTTCTTATTGCTCTGCCAGCCGTACTCCGGCTCTGAAGATGATGAGGACGATGAGGGATAAAAGCGGCCCCTACCCTTTCCCCCTGACCGGGGGCTGCCCCTGCCCCGTTTCTTGGGGACCGCTGAGAGCCCCGCTGCCACAGCATCCTTGAGGTTCCTAAGAGGTGGGGGGGAGTTGGGTGCGTGAACGATGGCCTCGTTGGTGTGGAGGTGATTTTATATCACGCGAGCATGGGCACAAGGTCTGGGAGACAGAACACGGAAGGAGCGACGTGGAATGAAATGGGGGAACAACAACTACTACATGTGCAACAAGGACTACTACATCGTACGACTGCTTCTTCCACTACTGCTGCAACAATAACGGTCGCTACAGCCTGCTGCTAATGTTGTTGCCGCAAAAAATGTAACTTGCTACAAGAGCAACAGCGGCAGACCAAAACAGCCAACTCACCTGCACTCAATCACTTCGATCGCGCCGCGTCGGCCGTCATTCCCTGCTTCCGACACCCCCGCAGCCACTGTAGCTTTGCCAGCTCTTCCCCCCCCCCTCGCCCTTGTGGAGCGATTCTTGCGCGTGAACGGGACCACCACTCTGGAAAAACCGAACGTTTCCGCTTCCTGGTGCAGGGAAATCGGGGTCGCCGTAAAAGCCATCAAAGACGCCAAGAAAAAACAAAAATTGGGAGTCCTGCAGACGTAAGAGTCCGAGTTTGAGCATCAATCCACTGCTCTGCGTAAACAGAGAGACCATTGTAGTAATACCAGAAGGTGCTGCTGATATCAATAACGTTTCCCCCAATACCACTGCTCAAGTATACTCCTTCAGAAGCCCATTGTTGATCATCTTACTTCATTGCCGCCGTCTTCGAGTTTTGTGGGGCTCTGGCGGGCAGACACACCGACCAGCACTTTGTGAGGGTTTCAACCAAGCACACCGCCACCGCTGGTACGTATCACGGCTGATTATCGCACGTAACGCGTTTGAGAATCATAAAACGCAGCACTGCTATTCGGACAAAAGGACACGCACGTGTGGTGCACTAGAGCAGCGGCACGAACGTGTCACCTGGATTCGCCTAGGTAGTTGCTGCACTGGCCTGAGCTCTCCTCCAAGACCGATCTCTCCGATGAAGCACGTGTCCTGATACAGTGTCACAATTGTGTCAAGGTGTCCGACTTATCAGACGGAGATACCTCTTCGATTACTACTGTAGATGCACTGCTGCGGTGGCAAGGCAACTGACATAAACGTCAGACTACCTCGGGCGAGTGAAACCTCGACAGTCGATTGGACTATTTCGCTGCGTGTCTCGGGAATATTCTCGCCGCCACCACGTACTCAAGAGAATGCTTTCCATGCTCAGGAAAAGACTTGGTTTGGTCCTTTCGGCATCGTCCGAGAGTCACTGTCAATATTTACCAGAGGTGTGAAGGGTGGCTGCCACAACAAAAAAACTTGCAAGCCGGTCATGTTCGTGAAATACGCAGCCTGTGAATACCCGGGACGAAAAGGACTGGAGATAAATGCCTCATCGCCGGGATTCACGCATTGTCGACAAGCAACTTGAAAAAAACCGACATGCACATGATGATCATTTCTTGGAATTCGTGGTCGGTGACAACAGCGGTGTTGTTGAGACCGAACTGAAACTAAAGTGCATCGGAAACAACAAGCAGCGGGATTGGAATGTTCTTCACAGTCCCGGGTGAGACTTTAAGATGTGTGATGCGCGGACTTGCTCCAACTCTACAAGCTCCATTCATCTACCTCTTTGAAAAATCGAGGTAACTCGACGGGTCCTGGTTACAATATGGGGCGAAAATCCTGGCGGAATATGTACGTCTTTCCTCCAACCACGCTTCTTGCCCAACTTGCCTTGCTTTTGTGGTCTCCAGGATACATTGAATTGACTTGATGCTTCACTCGCAACTGACGCAAGTGCTCGGAACGTTTCAATAGCTGTGGCTTCTTCGAGGGTTCGTATCAACTGCATTCGTGTGTGTCTTGAAAGGCGTGGTAACAAGGCATGAAGCTGGCTCCCGAGGTCCAATTGGATTCAGAAGAGGGATGCCCGGAAGACAACAAACGTTGTCTCTCTATCCAACGGGGAGATGTGATGTGACCTCCTACACTTCCAACCGCCCCTGGAATACAAGTTTTCTTGCACGAATGAGCTTCACTCAATACCCCCGAAAAATGAAAAAATAAAATGTACCAGGTGAGCCCAAAGCAACCACTCAACGTCCGGGGTTCAATAAATTGGGACACAACAGAGACGGCACACGGAGGGCGAGTGAAGCGAACAAGCCCATCCTCTCTCTTTTCCCTCCGACTTACCGGTCGGACGGGGATGGTGCTGTAACTGCTCACAACGGCGAGGGCCACGGCCAGATCGGCAGCCGTCTCCTGCACCTTTAATCCCCCGACAATGTTCAAGTACACCTAATGGCGGCGCAGCATGAAAAAAAACAAGACGCGTCCCAGTAGATGTGGGCATTTCACCGGGGGGTGTCTCAAAAGGTGTTTCAACGACAGTTTCGGTTGGCAACGTGCAACGACTGGTGTTACAATGGATACTTCCCGGGTAAGAGAGCGCGAGCGATACGCCACCTCAGAATCATGCCTCGCGGAACTTTCGACTGAATAACCATTCAACAACAACAACAACAACAACAACAACAAGCTCACTTCGCGGGAGCTCATGTCGTAACCCAGCCTCTTCTGGAGAACGGCCAGCAGCAACAGCAGTCGCGGAATGGGCAAACCGTCTGACAAGTGACAAGATAAGAAACACAGACCACCAAAACGCAGCGCGGAGCAGCCAAACCCGGGCGCAGGGAGGAGATGGAAACGACAGAGAGAGAGTGGGAAAGCGTCAGACCCCGACGTTCGAAAGGTAAGATAGGGTACCGTGTGGCGGGACGGTTGTGGAACCGATCGCGTTGCGCCGCCTACGGAGCCGCAGTCAGACCTTTGCTGATACTCACAGAGGCTGCTCTGTACGAAGCTGCTACTGCAACAGCAAATGCATGGCGCGGCCTAGCTGTTGGACACTACAAAGGTCAAAACAACTGGGGAGAAAAGCTGTTTTAGACGGGGCCCTTTCCTTCCAATTTTCGGAACGTGCTCAAATTGGAGAGCTCGGCGAAGCCATTTTCGATTGCAAAAAACAAGTGGAAATCTTCCAAAAACATGGAAGCGACCGTCCCACATTTCTCGAGCCTCACTCGCTTTTCCACGTTTTGGGAATCACGACTACTGCCAAATAGCCAAAGTTTGGGCAAAATAGCTGGGAGTAAAACGGGCCTACGAGAGCAAGACTCAAAGATAGTGGGCTCGCTCGAAATCGTGCCCCAGGCACCAACCAAGCGAAACGGTACAGGTTTTGTGGCACGCAATTCGCTGATTGGTAAAACAACCTGCGGCGGAATCTCAAAAACAGGCACGACCCAAGACCCTTGGGCGACGGGTGGTGTCCTGTGCCTGATCAAGCCAGAAAATTACCACACCTCCACTGCCGTGGCGATGCACGCGCTTTACTTTACCGGAGGTGCGCCTCGGGGACGGTAGCCTGGTGTACGTGACCAGGGACTGCAGCTCGCAAAGGATGGGCCGGCTTCCTTCCATGTACACGCACACCGCTGACCCGTCCATGTGCTCTGCGTGCTGTGTGACGGGGCGGGAGCGAGGTTGCACTGGGGTTGATCGTTGGTCCATGCTATGAATCGCAATGCCCTTGTTGTTGTTGTTGTTGTTGTTTACTTTTGCCGCCGAAAACAAAAGGGAAACGAAAAAAATATATACATCGTCATCGTTGTGAATGCCTGAACAAGATTTCACAGGACGAGTGTCGTTGGATATCGTGGGCGCCGCCGTTGACTGTCGCGGTTGCCGTTTGTTGGTTGCAATGGTGATGGAATGGTGTCCATTTCATACTTCGTATACCTCCAAACACGTGCTGAGGAAAAACATGTCGAACACAGACACCAGCGTGAACAACAACAAAAAGACACAAACAACAATCATAGGGTGCAAGCTGTTCGATACTATGCATCCCGCGCAGCGACAATGGAGATCGGACGAAAAAGACACACAGAAACCTACCAGACTGTTGTTCCACACCTCACGAGGTCGGAGGTTGACTCCAGGGGAAAGGGGGGCTGATATACCACGTCACATGCTGTACTGTATCGAAAGTAGCCTCACGTCGTCATCATCGACGTTTTTGTCGGAAAGGAACAGCATGGAAGGGTCCGCCACATCGTCCAAACCGCCGGCCTCCATCTGGAACACCCCGATCTCGTTGCTGGGACCGAAGCGGTTCTTCACGCTCCTCAGCAACCTGGTGCATGGTTCGCGTCTTAGCAAATGTACAACACAGAAAGACTACCCGTTCGAGACAAAACCACAGCAGTAGTCCAAGAGGATGGCTTCAAGTCCGTACAGTTACAGTGAGTGGGAAGAGAACCGGCTGGATATTGGCGATTGTGGCCGTGTTTGGGCATCGAGAGCGCGAGACGCGACGACGACGTGAAGCGCTTTTCGTACTCTTGGAAGAAAAAAAAAACTGTGGCCCTGGTAGCAGTGAGTGAGTGGTCATACTCTTCGGGAACAACACAAAAGCAAAGCACCCTTGTCTGCTCTCTCTCTCTCTCTTTCTCTCTCTCTCTCTCTCTCTCTCTCTCTCTCTCTCTCTCTCTCTCTCTCTCTCTCTCTCTCTCGGTAGGTCTCACATGTAATTCCAATCTACTCTAAAACCCTCATGTGGTTTATCCATCGATTGGGGGGGCAGGGGTGGGGTACACCATCTTCTTTTTCACTGCTCAGTTTACCCCGTACGCTCCATGCACAACACACAAAAACTAGCAATCATTACCTGTAGGAGTTGAAGCGATCCCCTTCGAGGTAGAGGACCGTATCAACCATGTGCTCCACCACCTTAGGACCGGCAATCGATCCCGACTTAGTCACGTGTCCCACGATAAACACGGTGATCCCGGAGCCCTTGGCTAGGCGGACGAGCCTGCTTGCGCACTCCTTCACCTGCCGGCACCGATATATATATATATATTTTTTTTTGTCTCCCATCATTGGACTCTGTCGTCTGCCCCTCTGGCCCCTATCCTCCACTTCTGCCAGCTAGAGACCCAACCGGGGTCACATAGGAGGGGGGGGGGGGGACCCCCTCCTGCGGTTCCTGCCTGATATGTTTTTATTGCAAGAAGGGTACAGCAATCCCTTCCCTCGCGACTTATGAAGTCGATCAAGTTCACTAACAACGAGCTGTGCAGCGCGTCGCTTCCAACGGAGACCAGGATAAATTAGCGAGAAAAACTCACTCTGTCGGGACTCGAACCCATGACCTGGCCCTTAGCAGGCTGCGAGGCTACCCACTAGACCACCGGGGCGACCGGTATGTAGATAGCCGGCGCGGTCCGACCATCATTGTGCACTAAAACAGTTTGGCGCAGAGCTACACCACCACTAACAATAACAACAACGACGACAACGACAACGACAACGACAATAACCTGCGTGACGCTGCCAGGACTGGAGGTTGAATCCTGCGTCCTCATGGTCTGGATGGAGTCCACCATCACCAGTGCCGGCTGAGGCTGCATGACAAACATCTGAAATAACCCAGCAATCACCC